TGTTTTGTTTTTTGTTTTGTGTGTGTGTGTTTTTTTATTTGTTTTGTTTTTTGTTTTGTTTGTGTGTGTGTGTTTTTGGGGTGGCTCTTGGGTTTTGTGTTTGTTTTGGTGTTTCTCTTCTCTATTTTCTTTGTTTTTGTTTTGTTATTCGTTTTATCTTTCTTTCTTTCTTTCTTTATTTGTTTATTTACTTTTTACTCTCGTTACTCTTTGTTTTGATTTTTCTATTGTGTTTTGTTTTGCTTTTGTTTGCTTTCTTGGCTTTTGTTTTTGTCTTTTTGTTTGCATTTGTTTTTATCTTTTTATCTTTTTCTGTTATTATCTCTTTGTCACTATTATCTATTCATCTATTATCGTTTTCATTTTTTGCTTAGTCTTAATTTCCTCTTCTATTTTTTGCTTTATGTGTTTGCTCTCTCGTTTTATCTTTGTTTTTTATCTCATTATTTCGTTTATTGTTTTATCTGCTCTTAATTATTATGTTATCTTATATCATTTCTGGTTTTATCTTTATTCTATCTGTTCTTATGACCTGATTTATCTTCGTTTTATGTTCTTTCTTCTCCTTCTCTTTCATCTTCCTCTTATTATTATTATTATTATTATTGCTATTATTTTTATTACTATTATCAATATTATTATTACTATCATAATCGTCCTTATTATTAATATTATTATCATTATTATTATTATTATTTTTATTATTATTATTGTTATTATTATTATTATTATTATTATTATTAACATGACTATTATAATCATCCTTATCATTATTATTATTATTATTATTATTATTATTGTTATTATTATTATTATTATCACTATTATCATGATTGCTATTATCATCATTATTATTATCATTGTTGTTGTTGTTATCATTATTGATAGTATTATAATTCTTATAACTTTGATTATTCTTCTTATTGTTTTAATCATCATCATCACCACTTAAAGATTAATACTTTTCTCTTGTATTTTTTTCCTCTTTTTTAGATACGTGTTTCGAGTTACATATTAGTGATTTTGGAAAGGGATGTTTTTGTGTTTATATTTCCGTTCGTCAGCTGTTCCAACTTTTTATATGTTTTTATATACATGCATATTCAAATATAGCTGAGGAAGTTATATACATGTATATATATATATATATATATATATATATATATATATATATATATATATATATATATATATATATATATATATATATATATATATATAGACATAAGATATATATACATCTGTATCTACATATCTGTATATCAGTATTTTTACATATGTACTGTATATATATATGTATATATATATATATATATATATATATATATATATATATATATATATATATATATATGTATATATATATATATATATTTATATCTATTTCTATATCTATATTTAATAGGTATTTATCCATCTATCTGTCTGTCTATTTATCTGTCTATCTATCTATCTATCAATCTACCTCTATATATATATATATATATATATATATATATATATATATATATATATATATATATATATATATATATATATATGTATGTATGTATATGTATATATATATTATATATATATATATACATATATATATATATATATATATATATATATATATATATATATATATATATATATATATATATATATGTGTGTGTGTGTGTGTGTGTGTGTGTGTGTGTGTGTGTGTGTGTGTGTGTGTATGTGTATGTAGCAAAGGCGAGTAAACACGAATGTCATCACATGCCACAGTTTTCACCTCAGGGGAATCGTGACACAGCACCCTCTTGCATACTGTGAGACTGATGGTGGAGAAGATATCCTATCTCTACCCTTATGTGTTCGCTTATCAGACCAGATTTACTGCAGAAGTTGAAATCATGCTTTCAGGAGATGCGAGTAAGAGGGAGGGGGGCAGGGGGTGGGGGGGGAGGGATAGGATATAGGGGGATGGGAAGGGGAGACTGAAGAGGGGAGAGGGGGGGGGTAAGAGAGGGGAGAAGGGGGAAAGCAAATTGGATGGGAGAAATAAGAGAGGGGGAGGGTGGAGAAGGGAAAAGTTTAAAAGAGAGAGAGAGAGAGAGAGAGAGAGAGAGAGAGAGAGAGAGAGAGAGAGAGAGAGAGAGAGAGAGGGGGGGGGGGGGATAGAGAGATAGATAGAAAGATAGATAGATAGAGAGAGAGAGAGATAAATAGATAAATAGAGAGATAGATATATAGAGATAGATAGATAGATATATAGAGATAGATAGATAGATATATAGAGATAGATAGATAGATATATAGAGATAGAGATAGATAGATAGATATATAGATAGAGAGAGAGAGAGAGTGAGAGAGATCGAAAGAGGTTAAAATATCGCTGTCTCTGACCCAGGGATAAATTCCCAATCGAGTTAAAAAGTCACAAAGACAGGTTTCAACAAGGACATATTTTTACTTTCCTTCTTTTCCCCTTTATTTTTTTCTCTCCCTCTCTCTCGTCTCTTCTTCCAATCTCTTTTCTCTTCTTTTGTCATTCTCCTCTCGTTATATCTTTC